ATTTTGTAACTAGCAATCTTAGTTACATAATCTCTTAGGTCACTTCAATTAATGCAATAAGTTACAATCTAACAATTGTAGCAGGTCACATCCACATACACACAAAATAATAGATGATAATCTCAAAATAATTATCCAGTCTCAAAATTTTCACGTTCAACTGTCAAAATATACGAACAACATGAACAAGCACAATCTTTGAATGAATTCACGATTCCAACATCCACCAAATATCATACACATTGTTCGGATCCATACACATATGTGAATTCCAGTGATTGAAAACACATCTGCACAGAATTATATCAATTGGTTAAGCCCAAAACTAGAAATTTCTTTAATTCATTGGCAATGTGAATTCCAGTGATTGAAATCAGATCTGGACAGAATTATTTCAATTGGTTAAGCCTAAAATTAGAAAATTCTTTAATTCATTGGCAGTAGCAGAAATCACGACTTCAAAAATTGTAGAATCACGGCTAAAATTGACTTAATTTTTGAAAGAATTTTACAAGTTTGATATTTTTGAATTTGTATTCTTTATATATGGTATTTATGAATTTTTCCCTTTCTTTAGTGTCATCAACTTCAGATCCGATGTCGATCCATTAAACCTTGACATTTAATTAACTATCATCATACTCATGTTATGAAATTACAGATTTTCAAAATAAACTTAATTCTTAAGAGAGAAACATCATGCTTAACTAAAAAATTTGAAATCACTTCCTTTAACCTTAACTCTATCTTTCATCATTAATAAACAATAAAAAGGCCAAGACACAACTCAATGAGAAGGCTAGCCGAAATAAATCAAACTTAGCCCTTGTTTGTCATCTATTTTATCAAATATTGTTTGCTACAATAAACAATCTTTACCACATATTCACTAATGGGCGGACCAAGGAGGGGTCCTGGGGGGCAAGTGCCCCCCAACTTTTGAGATTTTTTTTTTATAAAATCGTGTTTGGTATCGATTGAAATCTAAATTTTAATCTAAATCAAAGTTAACGATTAATTTTAATAACATATTTTATGGAATCCATAACTGTTTATCAAAATTTACTAAAATTTTGATTTTAATCTCCACCAAATAAAGGCAAAATCACAATAAATTTGAATTTCGATAACATGCTAATTTTAAAAATTTTCCAACGATCATACGTTAATTGAATTTACAAATTGCTTATGTCATCTCAAAACTTATTTCGAGAGTTATATTATGAGCATATCGAATAATCCAAACAGATATCGAAAATAGTTAAAAATAAATTAAACGTGAGTTTTAAAAAAGACGTCTAACTCGCTTTTTTTTTTTTTTTAAATTCAATTATTTCATTGACATTTATTATTTTTGCGATACAAATTTCTCATTGTATTTTTTTATCATTTTATTAGGAAATTTTTATATGAAATTTTATATCTGAAAAGTCACATCCCATGTAAATTTTCTGATGTAAAATTATATAAGGTATGATTTTTTTGGTCGTAAATTTTCGATTGTAAAATTTCTCCCAATTTTTTTGCAAGTTCGATTATACTCCCNAACATTGTTTGCTACAGTAAACAATCTCCACCACATATTCACTCAATAAAATATTCTACACACAAACCAATAAAATTACTTTACTTTTCAACCACACATTCTCCAAAAAATACTATTCAAAACTCTATTTCTTCTCCCAAAATGGGAGACAAACAAATAATAAGTCCATCTAAAGATTTAATAGCTACCTTGGTTGGACATGACATTTGTTAGACTAAAAGGGTGCCAATTATACATTATTTAACGCTAGTGACTAAATAGATCAAGAAAATAGTGTAATGACCAGTTTGAAAATTTTCTTGAATTTCAGTGACTACTAGTGAAATTAACTCCTCTTTTAATTTTTGTTTTGCAAAAAGCAAGGCAGGGGTAAAGTTGTAAATTTATAAAATAACCCTAATGCGAATATTCCTGTTGACAGGGGGTATAAATGTGTATTTGTTGAAAATGCAGGATTCACATTTACAATTAAAGCAAAATTTGAGGCACCTAAACAGAAAAATAAAAAGTCCCTTCACCCTGCCGTCGTCGAGTTCTGACGACACCATTTAATCTAACTTTATCTTTCTCTGTACCGTTTTCTCTCTCTAGATTCGTCAAATCTCAAAGGTATGCTTATTTAATTGTATTTTTAGTCAGTATTAATATGAAATTTTATGTATGTATGTGTATAAATGGGTTTTTCTATGTATATATCTGTGTTTTAGGTATCAATGGTGGGTTTCGGTTGGGAATATTATATAAGGTAATTTTTGTTTTGCAGATGGAAGAATTGTAGCCGAATTTGCAATTTTGAAGCGGACTGCGATTTAGGGTTTTTCGAGTTTGGATTTGGGCGTTTCTGGGTTTTGTTGGAAAGCTTGGGGGGATTTGATTTATTAGAGTTTTCATACAAAAAAGGGAAAAATTTGTGGAAGTTAAATTGATTGAATAGTTGGTTAACGCTGCAGTGTTTGGTTGTGTAAAAATTGGGAGAAATGCAAAGAAGCTATCTTTATTATTCATTGGAGGGTTTGGAGGGAAGGTGAGGGGAGTAGTAGGAATCTTCGGAGTATCAGATTGAGTGTGCCCTCGACTTCAATTACTGCAGATTTTAGTTTTTTTTTTTTTTTCAAGGTGAGTTTTTAGCTTTAATTTCTGATTCTTTGATTTTTTTTAATTAATATAGCAAGTGTTTATTGATTGGTTAATTCTATTGAAAGTGTTTACTGATTGGTGTTTGTGATTTGCTGATATAGCTGAAATTTGAATCCATTAAAGTTGGAAATATTCGTTTTTGGAATATGTATGTCAATGTGCTGTAAAGTTTTTAATAGCAGTACCAGCTGCGATCCTCCGTGTTTGCGTAAGCAACGAGCTATACATTGAATTTGGTAAAAAGCCAACGATTCACAAGTTTCTATGTATTGCAGATTCTAATATTTTGCCACGTGACTAACATTTTTCCACCCACCTCCTCCGCCGTTATTATTTGGCGGTTGGATTGATTGTTGAACATCTCCACATGAGCCCCTGTTGCACATCTTATGCCCACTTCCCCTCATCAACAGCTATTCGAACCATTAGATCCAAAATTGCAGACGAACACTGCCATGTCAAACACTTCACAAGAGAAAAAAAAAACAAGTACTTCCTTGCAGGGGTAGAGCAAGGGGGGACAAAAAAAAAAAAAAAAATCCTACTGGGCTGATACATGGAAAAAAAAAATTCCTTTTGCCTTCAAAATTTAATTGGCTTGTGGCTACCCCCTCCCTATGCCTCTGTTTCATTGGCCAACTTTTACCATAGCTAGTGCCACAATTTTAGCCTTATTACTTGAAATTTTTTTTGGAAGTAGCTCAACTAATATTCAATGCTGCATCTAAAAGCTAAGAAGGAAAAGGAAAGACTGCCACCGCCAATAAACACCCCAATCCTCTGTAGATGATGATTTTCCCCAACGACTCAACTACGGGAAGTTAGAAAGAGGGAGAAAAATCTCTAAAACATCAAAAAACATTATATTATATTCTGTATAAAATTCTCAAAAGGAGCTTCATGATTTAGTGAAACAAAACAAGAATTAGGAATCATATTTCCTTAATGGATATGGTATTGGTCTTGGTAGGTGACAGTGACACTTGATAATGGAGAAGAGGTAAATTGAAGGTAGGTTGTCTCCAGGCTGTCGATAACTTAAGTTGATGGGTGATGCTATGATGGTTCCTAATGACTTTGGCCGGTGGTCATACTTGGGTCACGAGGTCTGCAGTGGTGTGTTGTGCTGGCTTTGAGTGGAGTGATGGTGGTCTTAGTTTGTTGACAGTGTTGGCATCGGGGTCTGAAGTTAAAAGTGGAGTTTGGCTAAAAGAAAAGAATGTAGCGGAGGAATATGAAGATTAGATAGGTTCTTTTATTTTGAAATCTTGTTTCGGTTAGGAGAGCCTTTGTGGGTAATATGACACTGTTTAAAAACCTCCAAATGAAAAAAGAGGGGCATTCATTTGAGATATATAGATAGTTTAAATCTTGTATCAGGTGAGCTTAATAATATGGCATTAGCTGAACAAGTGGATAAGACCATCTTTGTCTGTTCTTTGCAAGTTTTGGTGTGTCTGTATGACCTGCACAAAATGATGTAGCTTCACATTCCATAATTTGTTTTTTAGTATGGATTTTCTTATAGATGATATCTTCTGTCATTAGGAGCAAGTGGAATTTGTTTATTAGTATAGATTTCTTATAGATGATATCTTGTGTCATTAGGAGCAAATGGTTATTACTGAGGCGTTTGTATGGCCAATAAAAGATTTTATTTTGAATCTTACGTATTCAACATTTGAGGAACTAGTTTAGGGCTTTAAAAGTTTTTATTATGATTAAGTAAGCTGATCAAGAAGCGGGTTTTTTTTTTGCAAGAACAAATAATGAGGATTGAAGTCTTAGTATTGATTTTTGGCTTTGAACCATAAGAGATAACTCATCTTATTTAGGACTGAATAAGATAGAGTGGAGCGTAAGAGCCACTGACAAATTCCCAATATTTTCATTATTTTTTAATGGAAGTTAATGACAAGTTCCATTGGCTGGATCCTGGGATTGGGGTGGTGGAAGTATCAAATGTGTATCAACTCTTTTCTCACAACCATTATTAGGAAATATGAGTGCTACTCTTTCCGCTGTCATTCTTTATTGCAAGATATAACGAAAAGAATCTGTGATCCATTATTTATATGGAACATTGTTTCTTAGCGCCAGTTAGCTCATAAATTTATGGAGAATCAGATTTTTGTACTATCATTGTGGGATGGTCTAGAGTTGGTGATTGTGCTTTTTCCAAATTGCCTCAGTAGTCTCTGCCTTTCATTGTTTCTAAGCTTCATTCTTTCTTTTCCAAGATATTAATTTAAACTTCATGATTTTATAGGAGTGACAAGACGAAATTGATAAGCTCTTATAAAAGGCACGACGAGAAATGCATGCAACCTTGCAGCCTGGTGGTCGTTCTCCAAAGCAAGCTAATGGTCCGACTTCAACCTCACAATTGAAAACTGGTTCAGATAAAAATCAGAACAGCGGGACTTCTTTCCCTCCTCAAATGAAAGGAAAGAAGAGGGAAAGAGGAGATCATGGTGCTGATTCCATCAAAAGAGAACGTTCTTCAAGAACTGATGATGGTGATTCTGTTCAGTACAAAACTGATAATAATTTGAAATCAGAGATTGCAAAAATAACTAAAAAGGGAGGCGTTGTGGATTTGGAAGGGGTTGAGAAACTCATCCAACTAATGCAATTGGGTAGAATGGAGAGAAAATTGGATTTGATTAGTCGTTCAATGCTTGCAGGTGTGATGGCTGCCACTGATAAATTTGATTGTCTTAGTCGGTTTGTTCAGCTCAGGGGTTTGCCTGTATTGGATGAGTGGCTCCAGGACATTCATAAAGGGAAGATTGGTGATGGTAATGGTTTGAAGGACAGCAATGCATCTGTTGAGGAATTTCTCTTGGTTCTACTTCGTGCACTTGATAAGCTGCCTGTGAATCTTCAAGCCCTTCAAATGTGCAACATTGGTAGATCTGTGAATCATTTACGTTCACATAAAAACTTTGAAATCCAGAGGAAGGCTCGGAGCTTAGTTGATACATGGAAGAAACGTGTTGAGGTTGAAATGGCTAGCATTGATGCAAAGTCTGGTTCAACTCAAGCTGTAACTTCATGGCCTTCCAAATCACGCCTTCCAGAGGCCTCTCATGGTGGGAACAAAAATTCAAGTGTTGCCGATATTGCCATGAACAGCTCAATCACTCAGCATTCTGCATCTAAAACCACTTCACATGGGGAAAGCAACACAAAATCGGCATCCTCATCTCCAGGCTCAATGAAATCGGCATCGTCCCCTGCATTTGGCAAGGAGAGCCAGCCCAGAATTTCTGTGGATTGCACTTCTGATACCCCTTTAATTAGGGAGGATAGGAGCAGTAGTTCCAATCAGTCTCATAATTACTGTCAGTCCTTCTCAGCAAAAGATGGAAAGAGTTCTACTGCAGGTTCAGTGACTGTTAATAAGATATCGAGTGGAAGTTCTCATCATCGAAAAGTAAGTGGCTTTCCTGGGACCTCACTGACTGGACGTCAGAAAGAAACCAGCTCAGGCAGAAGTTCTTCAGTGCACAAAACTAGTCCTTTAGAAAAGTTATCTCCATCGGCTTTAACAAATGAAAAGGTTGTTGAGGGACCCACTATTGAAGGAAGTGGTCATAAGTTAATTGTAAAGATAACAAATCGGGTTCGGAGTCCTGCACAAGGTACCACTGGAGGATCTCTAGAAGATAACTCCATTATGAGCTGTCGAGCTTCTTCTCCCGTGCTCTCAGACAAACACCATAATCCAAAGGATGGGAGTGATGCATATCCATGTAATGTTCCTACAGAGATGAAAGCAGAGTCATGGCAAAGCGATGATTTGAAAGATGTGTTGACTAGGTCAGAAGAATGTGCTGAGTCATCTTTAGCTCTTCCCCGTGAAGAGCAAAGTAGGACCACTGAAGACTGCCAGAAATTAAACGAAGGCACCAAAGGAAATCAATCGGAGTCTGGAAAGTTGCAGAAAGCTACGTTTAGTCCCATGAATGCTTTAATTGAGAGCTGTGTGAAGGATTCTGAAGTAAATTCATCTTTATCACTTGAAGATGATATGGGAATAAACCTACTTGCTAGTGTGGCTACTGGAGAAATACCCTCACCTACCAGTTCTACAGAAATCACCCCTGCAGTTGATGAGAAAGCCAGATCAAAGTCTTCTTCGAAAGATCATATTGCAGGTGTTCAAAGTCAGTGTTCTCATGATGTTGATCATGCTAG